AGAGCCCGATGTGGGGCTCGATCCCAGGACCCTGGGATCATGACCTGAGCCGAAGGCAGACGCTTAACGACTGAGCCACCCAGGCGCCCCATACTTCTAACTTTTTGAGGAACCTCCATACTGTTTTCCATGGTGGCTGCACCAATTTACATTCCACTAACTGTGCGCAAGGGTTCCCTTTCTCCACATCCTCACGAACATTATTCTCTCTTATCTTTTTGATAATAGTTGTATGTAATTATTGGTCCAGATATTCTTACTATTTTTTAGATAACAGTTTTGCTAATGAAGTATAGAAAGGAAATCTTTTATGTTACATTTATACACACACACATTATACACGCATTTTTTTTTTATGAGAGACCAGTTGACAGCCTTAGCCTTCACTAGCAAGGGAGTTTTTATTTTTTGTGTGTTTTTTTTTTAAGATTTTATTTATTAGAGCATGAGTGAGAGAGCACCTCGGCAAGGGAATTATTTTAGGGGAAATCACTATTAGATGCTCGTATCAAATTTATTAAGATATGAGACATAAGAAAATCTTTTAAGTCTGTTTTTTGCTTTGTAGATATTGAAGACTTGCCTCCAACAGTCCAAGAAAAATTATTTGATGAGGTGCTTGATAGAGATGTTCAGAAAGGTAAGTGTAGAATTAAGGAGTGTGATTTAGTTCAATTTCCATAAACGCTTTGCTTTGTAAGGCTTGGAGCAGTTCAGTGTATGGTTGACTTGTTTTATTTTTACTTTAATTGAAAATGTAAAGTCCTTAAGAGCAGTGTCACATTGTGCTGTTAAAAATGTTCATTCTGTTAATTATATCTCGATAAAGCTGGAAAAAAAAATTTAAGAATGCTCATTCACGGCTCTTAACTGTGATGGAATAAAGGTATAAAAGTTTTTAAGCCTTAGTTTTCTACTTCCTATTCTAGAATGGGTATATTTCCATGTTAAGCATTCTTCGCAAATAGTAAAGAATTTAAAAGTTGAGCAAATTATTCTAGAGCCGTAGATGTTTCAACTACTCAGAAGGTTTGTATTTCAGTTGATCAGATTTATTTAGGTGTTTAATAGTAAATGACACATAAACTTACCAATATCTAGAGAATGGGTTCTTTCCTCCAATGAATAGTCCTAAATTGCATGGAAATGAACATGTTACTTAAATTCCTTATGTAGAGTTAGAAGAAGAATCTCCAATTATAAACTGGTCTTTGGAATTGGCTACACGTTTGGACAGTCGACTTTATGCGCTTTGGAACAGGACTGCAGGAGACTGCTTGCTTGATTCAGTGCTACAAGCTACCTGGGGCATTTATGACAAGGACTCGGTGCTTCGGAAAGCCCTGCATGACAGCCTGCATGACTGTTCACATTGGTGAGCCGGCATCCTTCCGTGTGTAAAACCAGGCGTGCTCTCGCTGAATCATTTCCTTATAGTGTTAGGATACTTTCTGCCGTTACATTTTCTGTGGAAGCTAGGGGGAAAGCTTTGGTTTTGCACATTGAGACACTTTGAACATTTTGACGGCTTTTAGACCTTTTTGCTGAGCTTCTTAAATAGAAACATTTGAAGTTAAATATTGATAAGGTCTTTGCTCATATTTTTAAGTGTTATCATTCCATATTTTTGTTGAAATTTAAAAGATTATGTTGGCATTGTATTACAAGATTTTTTTTTTCTTCCTGAGGCACATAGTCTTCAGACCACATTTTATTTTGCAAATTTTGAAATCCACAGTAAAGTTAAAAAAATATGTCAGTGCAACAGACTCTAGTGTTTTCTTCATTAGATGTCCAGTTGTTGACCTTTACCCACATATGCTTCATCTCTACATATGTAAGCACCTCCCTTTGCCAGTTGGTTTAAGTCATCATAATGCTTTTTCCCCCGTCAGTGTCTCAGTGTGCATCTTGAAGAACAAGGATATTCTCTTACCCAGCCAAGTCCTCATTACCAAATCTAAGAAAATCAGCAAGGACTCTGTTATCCAATATACGGTCCACATTACATCTTCCACTTATCTCAGAAATGTCCTTTCTGTAGACAGGGTTCCCTGCTATCTGAAAGAGCATTCCTGGGAAACCTTTTGTCAGCTGAACTGGCATAAAGCAAAGATGCAGTTACCATCTTGTAGAAGTGAAAATCCTCTTCAGATTTCTTTTCGGCTAGCAAAAACAGGCGCTAATATAGGTCTTTCGTAAAGGTGAAGGGGTACAAAGCAAACTTTCAGATAGTGGGGAATCCTGTATATATATATACAATACTTGGGTGGATGCCGGGTAAAAAATATTACCCGGCATTCACCCAGGTATGTGACTGGTCTTGACCTATGGTAGTTTCTTGGTTCTGTATATACATCTCAGTTATGTATATACATATACATCTGAGATGTATATACATCTCAGAAAAATTGAGGCTGTAAAAGAAGCTAAATTAATTAAAATGCGTTTTTCCCCCCTCTTAACACCTAATTGGATGCTCACACATATGGCCTTACTCTGGAAAACTTTACTACCCTAGTTCCTCCATGTAATTTTTGAGCACTTACTAGTTGTGAATTTTGTTGTCAGTATTTAGGGATTATGTGAAGTCCAATAGAATATAAACTCCATGAGAACAGAGATTTTGTTGTGTTTCATTGTGGAAGATCTAGTGCCTCCAGTAGCCTGACACATAGTAAGTACATACATAGTAAACATTATTCAGTGAAAGTACTCTCTAGAATTTGAAAATGAAAGCAATTTAATCACTTTTTTGAGAGCTAAATTATAGATAAAAGCATAATGCAAGAGAGGAAGAATTTGAGGTCACCTGAAAAAAATTAAAAAGCTCTCTGGCTGGCAGGCCTCTCTGGTGACCTGATTGGATGTATAATGTGTACAGGCATACCTCAGAGATGCTGTGGGTTCAGGTCCAGACAACTGCAGTAAAGTGAGTATCGTAATAAAGTGAGCCAAAGGAAACTTTGGTTTCCTAGTGCATAGAAAAGTTCAGTCTGTAGTCAAGTGTGCAATAGCATTAGGTCTTAAAAACTACACATACCTTAATTTTAAAAATATGTCATTGCTAAGAGACCCTAACCATCATCTGAGCTTTCAGCGAGTCGTAATCTTTTTGCTGGTGGAGGGTCTTGTCTCAAAGTTGATGGCTGCTGACTGATCAGGGTGATGGTGGCTGTTTCTTAAGATGACAGTGAAGTTTGCTGCATCGATTGACTCTTCCCAAATGATTTCTCTGTAGCATGTGATGCTGTTTGATGGCATTTTACCCACAGTTAGAATTCCTTTCAACATTGGAGTCTGTCCTCTCAACCCCTGCTGCTGCTTTATCAGCTAAGTTATGCGATAGTCTCAATCCTTTGTTGTCATCTCAGCAGTCTTCACAGCATCTTCACCAGGATTAGATTCCATTGCAAAAAACCACTCTGCTCGTCCATCCCAAGCAGGTCCTCATCTGTTCAAGTTGTGTATGAGCTCGCAGCGCTTCAGTCCCATCTCCATGCTCCGCTTCTCATCCTAGCTCTCTTGTTCCCAGCGTGGCTGTAGTGACTTCCTCCACTCAGGTCTTGAACCCCTCCAAGTCATCCACGAGGGTTGCAATCAACTTCTTCCAAACGCATGTAAATGTTGTTATTTTGACCTCTTTCCATGAATTAGGAATGTTCTTAGTTGCATCCAGAATGGTGAATCCTTTCCAGAAGTTTTTCAGTTTCCTTTGCCCAGATCCGTCTGAGGAATCACTGTATATGGCAGCTATAGGCTTACTTGGAATAATGGCTTGAAGGTTGAAATTACTCCTTGATCATGGGCTGCAGAATGGATGTTGTGTTAGCAGGCATGAAAACAGTCTGGTTGTCCATCTCCATCAGAGCTCTTGGGTGATCAGGTGTGTTGTCGGTGAGCAGTCATAATTTGAAAGGAATTTTTTACCTGAGGGGTAGGCATCAGGTATTTAAAAATATTTAGTAAATTATACTGAAAATGGATGTGCGGTCATCCAGGCTTTGTGGTCCTTTTATAGAGCAGAGTATATTTAGCTCAATTTTTAAGGGTCCTAGGATTTTCTGAATCGTCAGTGAGTATTGGCTTCAATTTAAAGTCACCAGCTGCATGAGCCCCTTCACAAGAGAGTCAGCCTGTCCTTTGAAGCCAGGCAGTGACTTCTCCTCTCTGGCTGTGGACAGTCCCAGATGGCATCATCTTCCAAGAGAAGACTGTTTCATCTACATTGAAAATTTGTTGTAAATTTGGTGTAGCTTCCTGCATTCATGATCTTAGCTAGATCTTCTGGAAAACTTGTCACAGCTTTTGTATCACTTGCCGATTCACCTTGCACTTCGACGTCTGGAGACAGCTTCTTTCCTTAAACCTCATAAGCCAACCTCTGCTAGCTTCAGGCTTCTCTTTGATATTTTCCTCATCTTTCTGAGCCTTCATAGAATTGAAGAGAATTAGGGCCTTGCTCTGGAAGTGGTTTTGATACTCTTGTGAACACATGGGCTATTTCTAGTCCATTATTTATACAATGACCAAATAGTGAATACTATACAGTAATGTAGAAATGTATTGTCTTTGTATCCAGCATCTCAGATGATTTTGAGTGTTTTTTTGGGTTTTGAACTTGTAAACCAATAGTAGACAATTGAAATTGTTCTCATCACTAGTGTTTAAAGTTTTGATGAAAACTTGATGGGTGGTGAATGAAATTTTATGTGAGAATGTGTTAAATGATGTCTCTTAGCAGAAGGTAGGCATTTTTAATTTGAAGATATAGTGCAAAGTGGGTAAAATTAATAAAATTGCTGATCTCTTTACGTGAATTGCTTAAAGACTACATTAAATAAATGGAACATTTATAGAAGGCTTATTTTTTACTGTCTTGCTTTTTCAGGTTTTATACACGTTGGAAAGATTGGGAATCATGGTATTCTCAGAGCTTTGGTTTACATTTTTCCTTGAGAGAAGAACAGTGGCAAGAAGACTGGGCATTTATACTCTCTCTTGCTAGTCAGGTAAGAATGCTTCGAGGCATGTTGCTTCTGTGAGAAAAGTAGGCTACATGCTCGAAATCCTGGATTTACGTGCGTAAGCTATGTTAGAGACATTGTGGTATACACGAAAGAGTGCTTGATTTGGCATTGGGTGACTTGGGTTCTGGCCGTGACTGCTGTCTGTCAGCTCTTTGACCAGAGGTGAGTCCACGCTGCAGGACAGAGGCAGTAACGTGTTTCTTACACTAAGTGACTAGAAACGATCAGAATGAAAGTCGTACTGTGATGATTCCAGGTGCTTCTATACTTTTTTCATATTGCTCTTCATTTATATTGTCCTCTTAGGAAGGTGGCTTTATGCCTGTTATACCTACCTCCTGGTTAGCTCCTGTTCTGTGTCTGAGAGGGCACTGAACCGAGATCACTGAGCTGGTGGCGGGCACTCTTGTGCTGGCGCTCCGCTGTCAGGCCCGGAGGGTGAAGCGGTGATCTGCGCGAGGCTCTTCCTCCATGTGACGTGTGCCAGGGGGAAGGTGCCATGGCCGACAGGTGGAAGGATTTCTTTAAAATTAACCTGGGAATAAACTTTTAGAAAAATGAATCACGTAGAGTGGTGCCTCTTAGACTCTAGCTTTCATACTAGTTTTATACTGTGAAGCACATTCAGTATGCTGAACGTTCAAATATACACACAACAAACCATTCCTTTTCTTTGCAGAAAGCACCATCATTTATTTGAACCCTGTGAATGTCACAGTGGCTGTTTTACATCTGTGACACGTACTTCCTGAAAATGGGGTGTCGGCATCCCTATAGACGGGTGGTAGACCTGTTCCGTATTCTTGCCATTTACTTTTGTATGAACTAACAGTTCATCTTTTTACTTGGGGAGGACCTCGTTGTCAGGTCGTACTCTCACAGGTGACTTAACAAGGAGGCCATGGAATGACTCCAGCATCCCTTGCTATCTGAATCTCTTGTTCCTGGGATCACTATTTAAGCAAATCCGCTGGGTTCTTGAGATCAGATAGTGAATGATACTTGTCTGCATAGACTTTGCAGATTTCTTTTATTATTTCATTGGATTTTGCTGTTTGAAGAATTTTACGCTTCTTTAGCTTGGCAATATTAATAGTAAAAAAAAAAAAAAAAGCATTGGTCTAGTGTACTGAAGGGGAGCAGCATTGTGTTTTGCACAGTAGTTTTCCAGGGCGGCAGTAAATGTTTTAAAGAGAAATTGCTTTCTTTATTTTATTCCGTACAGCCTGGAGCAAGTTTGGAACAGACACACATTTTTGTACTTGCACATATTCTTAGACGACCAATTATAGTTTATGGAGTAAAATATTATAAGAGTTTCCGGGGAGAAACTTTAGGATATACTCGGTTTCAAGGTAAGCCATTATTCAAGAGTATTTTAGAAGTCTCTTGTTCCTCACCAGGCAGCTTGCAGCCATATCGGGTAACCCCACGGGGATTTTCTTTCCTCCCTCCAGGTGTTTATTTGCCTTTGTTGTGGGAACAGAGTTTTTGTTGGAAAAGTCCCATCGCTCTGGGCTATACACGGGGCCACTTTTCTGCTTTGGTTGCCATGGAGAACGACGGCTACGGCAACCGGGGTGCTGGGGCTAACCTCCACACCGACGACGACGTCACCATCACCTTCCTGCCCCTGGTCGACAGCGAGAGGAAGTTGCTCCACGTGCACTTTCTTTCTGCTCAGGAGGTAAGAGGGGTAAGAGGTGCGGCGCTCTGGTGAACCACTGGAAATGGTCACGCCGCCCCAACCCGGCCCGGGATGCCTCACCCCGCGGCCTTCTCCGCACCGCCAGCCCTGGCGCTCGGCTCTGCCAGCCTGTGACACGTACCTTTCCTGAGCTGCTCTGTGGTCGTGTGGTGCAGATGCTGCCGTGACAGGAACTGAGGCGGCGAGGGGGGGGTTGCTGCCGAGGAGAAAAACTAGAAAGATGGGAGATGGGGGGCACGGGGCTCATGATTGCAATTGGGCCGTAACGGGAGGCGTCTGAGGTGATGACGCCTGAAACGAGCCCCTCAAGAGAAGGGAGTCTTGCAGAATATGGGGGAAGAGAGCTGTAGGGAGAGGGTACCTCAGGGCCCCGGTGTGGTTTGTGGGGAAAGGGGGTTGAGGGGCTTAGGGATGCCAAGGGGCTCACCAACAGCCTTTTAAAGCCTTGGCTTTGACTCTGGGCAGACGGGAAGCCCACGGCCCGTTTGTCCGGTAGAGGACCACCGGCTGCTCGGTGTGGAGCCTAGAGACTAGGTGCCTGGAGCAGTGGTGGGGGCCGGAGTGCCAGCTAGGAGACCACTGCAGATGCAGGGGCGAGGGAGGTGTAGACCAGGCAGGGGTGGTGAGGCTGTGTAGAAAGAACACGCTCAGAAAACCCATATTCTTACAAAACTATTGCTCTTTTATTTAATGTACTAGTAGTTCTAAAACTTCTATAATCAGGACATTAGTAGAACATAATTTTTATAACTTCATTCTGTAAAGACTTTACTGAATAAACTTACCTTGTCATGTGTTTGAAGCTGAGACTTTGTTTTTCTAGTCTTTTCTTTGCCAAGATCAGTGTATTAGGTAACATTTGGTTTTTCCTGTTCTTTCAAACAAATTAACTCATTAGTGGGTGGTTTTTCCCCCTGTGAGATTTTCCTGTGAATTTTCCCATTGATGTTTTTATGTTTAAGTATAGGAAACTGGGTTTGATCATAAAATTGATGAGAGACTGAAACCACGTGAAAAGTTTGTTGCTTTGACCTTTTCGTTAGTAATCCTGTCAGCTATGTTTTCTTTAGACTTTTCCTGGCAGGTCTCTGATCTGTGGTATTATTTCCCCTTTTCTTCACATTCCTCTAAAAGCTAGGTAATGAGGAACAGCAAGAGAAACTGCTCAGGGAGTGGCTGGACTGCTGTGTGACCGAAGGGGGTGTGCTGGTGGCCATGCAGAAAAGTTCTCGGCGGCGGAACCACCCCCTGGTCACGCAGATGGTAGAGAAATGGCTTGACCGCTACCGACAGATCCGGCCTTGTACGTCCCTGTCAGATGGAGAGGAAGATGAAGATGATGAAGATGAATGAAAAAAAATCAAAGAGCAGAAGACCAGGGTATCAGCTCTGTGGCGACCCCCAAGCTAGTGTGGTGCACGCTCCAAGCAGAGCGCAAGGCATGGAAGGAACCAGATCTGTCAGGATCTGCCCGGAAGGGCTTTTCTAATCCACACCCAATGGAGATGACGTATCTGCTGTGTGAGGAGACAGAGAACTTTGTTTGGACTACAGTTTGTAAAAAAAAAAAAGAAAAAAAAACTAATTTTATTAAGACAGAACTTTTTTCCTTTCAAATTGTAAATCTGTCTATAAATGTAACGCATGTGGTTGTGTAAGAAGTTGTGTAATAGGACAAGTTGTACCAGCATCTTCATATTATTGAGAAGTTTTTTCCAGCACGGGCACCTCCAAAAGCACATGGCAGATGACTCTTTGTTCCTTTGAGATACTCTTTTTGAAGTAGAACCTGGCATTCCACTTCCATCTTAAAAGGCCCACTTTACGTTGAGTCTCATTAGAGCTCATTAGAGATTTGGAAACTTTTTGTACAAATTATCCACAGCAAAACATAAAAATAAAAACAAGCTTTTATTTTATTAATAATTTAGTTCCTGTCATGCCCAATAAAACGAAGTCAAATCTTTAAGGAACAAACTGCAAGGAAAGTAAGAATTGTTTGAGTGAACTTCATACATACGTCATTCCCTTGTTTTGGAAAGGGTTTTGGTTTCTATTATTTCGTCTTTTTTAAGCTTCTGATATGCCCCTTTTCAGTATTTAGGTATTTATTTGTTTGGAAGAGCACCCTTAACATGAGGGTTCTTTTCCCAGAGTCCGGGCGGCAGTCTCTCTGTGAGTCGTCATTCCCGGGATGTAAGTTAGGGAAGAGCCTGGGGAACAGGCCCACTTGTAACTAAATGAATTGTGTGAAATTTGCGCACTTGATTCAGTTGACAATGTTATACTCCCAAATTGCCATGCAGAGGGTCTTTGGATTCTTCCTTGTATCATCAACTCTGCTTTAAGCAAATCGTGTTAGAAAGGCATGCCTTTGCTTGGGCTCATTGGGAATCAGTTAAGTATAGAATAAAGATTTGAAAATGCAGTAAGGTGGAAATGCATTGTATAATGAATTTCTCAGAGTAGTCTGAGAATTTTTGCATGTTGGTTAATTGTGGCCATTCTTATTTAAAAGTTAAAACTTATAATCTTAGATAGAAATCTTTTTATAAAAAGTATTATTTGACCACTTCAGGTATATGTTCAATACTGGGTAAAAATTTCAGACCTATCTCAGGAACACATGAAAGACTTAGTGTCCTGATAAGCACTTTGTAGACTATTGATGTGGCAAGGAATTTGGAAAGCAGCCCCATACACACATACACACACACACACTGTTCCTTCCCTTTGATGAAAAGGCTGTGAAAAACCTTTAAATATTTGCTTCTTGTTTTCTTCTAAGTTCTGTTTAGATGGTGTTTGAAATGTGCACAACCTCTAATTTGATGCTGGAATACTAAAAATAGAAAAACACCCATGAGATGTCATGTCTTTAGTTACTTCTCCCCTCTCGGAACAGTGCAGATTCCCAGGATGAGAGGATCACTTGTGCTGTATGCTAAAACTTGCAGGAAACTTTTGCAATTTGATTTCATATAAATGAGTTTTGGTGTAATAATGGTAAATGTTACTGTTCTAAGTGGCTAGGTTTCCCTACAAATTGACTCTCTGGCTTTCATTTTGGTCAGTAATTAAGTTTTTAGAAGGCTGTCGTTCTACTTAGCATAGCATCTCTATAAACTTTTCTCCATACATAGGAAGAATTCTTTAGTGGGCACAGATCCTATTCTAGTTGCTGTTAAGCAAAACTACCCTCTCAATTGAAGAAGCCAAAGAGAAACGTTTGAGAGAAGTGTCTAGTCACTATGGTCTATACTGCAGTCAATGCTGTCCAGAAATCATAGGCTCAGTACTTAGCCTGTGTGTGGTGGTCTGCTGAGTGTTGCTTCCCCTGAGGTGCCTCTTTATTTATTTATTTATGATCAGTGATCCTGACCACACCTAGTTTAACGGGTACAGCATTCTTCCCTGTGGGAAAGGTAGAGCATTGCATTTCCTAGGCTCCAGACAGGGATGGGGCTTTAAATGGTTTTCATAGCAGATTGGCCACTAATGGCCAAAATGTTGTTGAATCAATGCTATGTTAAGCTCTTGAACTATTAAACAGCCATAATTGTTGTCCCGAGATAGAGTACGCAGTCCTTTCTCAAAGATGAGGTCTTGGTTGACTCTGGACAGTAATTACCTTACCTGTATGGACTTAACTTTATGGTTCTTTTTTAGGGAGAATACAGTGTGGTGTTTTCTGTTCTAATTAAACAAAACCTAGGTGCACCATGGATTTGAACTGGCCTTTTTGTTTTTGACTCTAGGCTCACCGTGTCCCAGACTCCATCTGTGTTACGGGAACACTGCTTGCTTTAGGCAGTTGGGGAATCTCCTTTTTGCGCATGTGTGGTCATGCCCTCATTGACAACATCCTGGTTGCGTAACGAGGACGTTCAGCTCCCATTCCGTTTCCTGGAGTGATGGGTCAGTCAGTAACCATGTGCTCCATCTCTTCCATAGGAGGTTGTTTTAATGTAATTTTTCTGGGAGGGTTGGGATGGGGCCACCACCTTCAGATGAGGGAGGAGGTTGATGTTTGAAGGCGCCATCATCGCCCCTCCCCCCGTCTTCTTCATGGGAAGGGGAGGAGAAGGGAGTGACAGGGAGTTGGGTACCTGGAATTGGACCTGATGGATGGGTTGATAGTGTGGCTACCACTAGAACAAAAGGGTTTAATGCTATTCAAGAAGGAAAATCCTTTAAATCAACAACTTAAAGTTCTTAGCATATGGAAATGGCTGATGTTAATTATTTTGCAACATTGCTTTGTAAATATCATTTAAAAGAATTTTGAGATTCACTTCCCTTCCTGCATTAATGCTTGAGCCAGGTAATTCTGCTTTTGGGTAAATTAAAATCAAAACTCTCTAACTTGACCAATTTTGTTTCTTGAATCGACTTAGTTCCAACCCACGATTTCATCTTGAGGATGTCATGATTTGATAACGATGGACTTACTGGGCGGTTTTCTGATTTCTGGGTTAAGCTATCATAGGTAATCACCTGCATATGGGCAGATGGAAAAGTGTTCATCTTCGAACCTGGGAGGAACACGAGTTGAAAACTGGCTAATTGAGAATGTAGTTTGCCTTTAAAACATCTCAAGTAGAGAACATTTACCTGGGTGAGATGTACTTGAATTTCAGAACTTAACAAATTTTTATTACTTTTTATTGAAAACTGCACTGAACGCTAAATGTCCACCTTTACAATAAACAGACACAGTAGCGGTAACTCACACTAAAACAAAACACTTCCGATAGCCATTATTTTTCTGTTTGGGACAGTTTTAAAGGATTTTTTTTTTTTTTTGTCACAAAAACAGGAATGTACCTATACAAAGGCTCAAAATAGGCCATCTTTTAAACAAAAAGGCGATGATTCACAAAAGACTATGAATATAACATGTAACTAGTTGATACAAATCTAATAGGATTTGTTAAAATCAGTCACATCTAATAACACACCTGAAGTGTTCTTGTATAAAATATCACGTGAAGAAAAGAAGATTTATCAATGTCTAAAAAAGTGGGTTTGTTCATAGACAATCTGACAAGTTACCATAAAAAGTGTTTCCTGAGACATAAGGAAATGCAACATTATTTTTCTTGAACTCTTTTAGCTCAAGACTTTCCACTCAATAAAATAGCTGAGGATCTGAAACTGAGAAAATATATTTGAGTACAAACAGCTTGTGAAACTTAATACTTTTTTCTTTTTTTTTCTTTTTTTTCTTTTTTCCTTTTTTTGCATCATCAAGAGGGTATCACTGAATTCACAACCAACTCGCCCGCTCAGTACGCAGTTCAGATGGGAGAGAGACTTCTGTACGCTTGCGGTGGTTAACACGGGCACACAGTTTTCTCCCCCTTCTCTGTAGTAATTTAATCTTCCTATCAGCAAGAGAGGTCACCAGCCCCCATGGACCGAAGGGACTAGAGTCATAGGAGGGGGATTTCCTCTTAGTATTTTTTATTTGACGTTTGGAACTCCTGATGCAACATTCTAGAGCAAGGTGTTCAGGACCTGCTGTGCCCAAGGGGCTGATAAAGGAAAAGGATCTATTTATTCTTTGTGATTGGATGCACAGATGAAGAACGTAACACACAATAACAGAAGTTGGTCGTTAATAAATCACGTCCTAGTCTTTCAGCGCTTCCGTCACCAGACGCCAGCTCCAGCCTTCCCACGCCTCGGCTTCCCGCTCTCCTAACACTGCAGCGTCAATGATGCGTGGGTCCGGAATCGGTTAAAAAGACGGTCAAAGTCCTTCTCTTAGTTCATCTAGTTTTCACTGTCTCTTGGTCCCAGGTTTATCTGAATGATGACTGTTCGTCATTCTCTGCTATTGCTCATTGGGGTGCTCTCTATTGTCCCCGTGTTTTGTAGGCTGGTTGGGAGAGGGAGCTTGGGAAGGGTGTGCCACGGTGGGGAGGTTGTGAGTCACCGGGATGCCTCCGGGGATGATCCCTTCCATGGCTGCAGGAAGTCCACCGGGAGCCACCCCCACGATGCCTGGCGGGTATCTGAGGAGCACACAGAGAAAGGGCCAGTAAGTTGGGGAGCAGGGAGGAGCCGAGCCCTTGGCTCTGCCTACTTCGGGTTGTTGTTGTTGTTTTTAAATAGGTTAGTCACTTTACCCCCCCAAGGCAAGGAGAAATCTACATGAAAAATCTAAAACTGACATTTAACTCCTAAACAACAAAATCTATGTAGTCCAATCAAAACACTGCCACAGACTGTGTAGCTTTCACACAATAGGAACAGCCCGTATTACGTCCACGGACACTACTGCATTTGTGAAACATTCTGTACAAAAAAAGGCTCCCCAGGTTGTCCAGCTGCCTTAGAAAGTATTCATTAGTTATATCGATGCTTTTAATGATTTCCCAACAGACCAGACCCTAGGCGAGCTAGCTGTGTGCTCTTGGGGCCGGAGGTGCGGGACGAGACCGCGGCGGCAGCAAGGGAAGAGGTGAGCTGGCGAAGACGGGCCTTACCGCATGGGCACACGAGCTGCTGGGCGCAAAAGGACACATGGCACTAAGCCCCCCACAGAACATGCGGTTCTTAGCAAATGCGAGTGCGGGTATTGAAACATGCCTCGGATAAAACGGACTTAGGAGGCAGGCGCTTTAGAATTGAAAGACTCCTTCTCCACATTCTCAAACCCCTGACCCATGGCTCCCCACCCTGCACCCTGTACAAGTGCTCACTGGTCGGTCAGAAACGAAGGACTCCCCAGGACTTGGTGAGCTACAGCCCCTCGAGCATAAGCCCCATTCCAAGGGGCCAGGGAGGCTTGGTCTGTCAAAGGGAAGAATTAAGATGGGGCCTTGGAAGGACAGGCTGCCAACAATAAGGAACAGGAACCTGGGGCCGAGGCAGGTTCAAGTGATGATACCGAAATACTATTAAAAGGATAAAAAAGGGTGGGACATTAATAGAAGACGGCAAACCGAAATGTAAATAAAGCCGCGAGACCCGGGACGAAAGCCGCATGACTTCCTCAGAGTCTGAGCCTTCACCTGTGGGTCCTCCTACACCAACTACAGTTCCACCGGCCCCCCGCCCCCCCCCACCCAGCCCGGTGGTCAGAGCCGTGCTTCACAACGGGGGAGGTTAGGCAACAGCTCGAGAGCCATTTTCGGTTATTAGGGTTGCGAGCGCTGGTGGAGGCCAGGGCCACCGCGACGCATCGCACAGTGCAAAGGCTAGGCCCCAGGGGACAATGATCTGGCCGGTAAGTGAATACTGCCGGGGTGGGGCAACCGTGGGTTACAGTAAGCCAGACCGCGATTTCCTTCTGGAGTTCAAGGCTGCAGCTCCTTTATAAAGCCGGACTTTGATTTCCCTGTGAGCCCAGCCATGGTGGGGGAGAGACCATGGGAAATGGGTCTGTGTGGGCTCTGGGCCAGAAGTTTCAAAGGAGCAAACAAATTCACCAGCAGGCCCTTCCCCCTGAAAATCTTCCCGGTACCTTCTCACGCAGAAGCCTTCTGCTTCTGAAGCGGCTCGGGATGCAGGGGGATTCCTCGCAGTGTTCAGACCCTTTGGGGAATGCACTCCCAATTCCCGCTCCTTATAAATAGGAACCCCAATTCTAGGCTGTATCCCAAGAGTTGTGTTTGCTCCACAGAAATTGGGCAGCGGCACATCTGCGAGGACAGCAGACTTGGTGCAGGGAGACTCCGGTGGTTTCCCCATCTCTCCTCCCCTCTCCCCGGGGGAGCCCTCCAGCGAGGCCGGTGCCATTCCGCTTCTCACCTGTACGTGGCGCCGTTGAGCTCCGGATGGATTGCTTGCTGATCTATTACTGACCAGGGAGCTGTTGTGACGAAGAATTCCTTGTTCACACAGTTTCTTAAGCTTTCGGGGATGCGACCTGGAATATGAGGATTAAAACTACTCAGATGTATTTTTTTAAGGTCACAGTGAGTTACAGATCACGCTCAGTAGCTGCTGCTGGGGGAACCCCCTACCGTGTTTGAACTATGGAAATCTGAGTGTAAAGTCTCTTACTCTAGAATGAGAGGGCCGGCCCTTCCATTTTCAGAAAAGGTGCAGCGTTGCGGAGCCTGTGCCCTGCGCTCTTCACTCCAGCCCCCCCCTTCCCCCAGGAACAGAAAGGAGCCTCTCCCCTGGCTCCCTCCACACTTCGCACGCTTATGCTGGCTGATTGAAAAGGAATCCGTTTCCTCTGAAATTGAGTTCAGGGCTTGGATGAACTGGGTCCAGCTCCTTCCAAACGTAATCAACTTGATCCCTAAAACCTCCTCTGCCCGAGTAGCAAGCCTCCGTAAGCCCCCTGGCGTGTTAGCCGAGCCGCAGGGCCCTGGCCGTCCTTCCCGGCAGGCGCTGGCTGGCGGGGCCGCAGCGGGCGGGCTCACCTGTGATTGCCCGGCGGATCTCGGTGGCGGCTGCCTCCCGCATCTCCAGTGAGGCTTGCTCACTATACCAAGCTGTGTGGGGCGTACAGATGAGATTCGGTGCATCTTTCAAGGGACCCTGAGCAAAGCTAGAATAATGTACAAAAACACAACAAATGAGAAGAATTGGGTATCGCTCCCTACCTACTCCAAGAGAGAGCTGGTGGCCACGCAGCACACTGACCAGTTTACCTGTGTAGAGAACAGTGGCCAGTACATCTCCTAAAGGCTGGGAATTCAAGAGCATACTGATCAGACCTTCTAAATGAGTGTCAGGAGGGATGAGGGACGCAGGAGGAAGGATCTTCGGAGGATCGGCAGGGCCCGCCTCTAAGCAGAACCCGTGGTCCAGGGGATAGATGAAGCCCGCTCCTCTCTAGACCAACACACCATTTTTCTTCCTTTCAGACATTCGTGGGCCCCCTGGCCCTTTTACACTCCAAGTACAGCACAGCCCGTAGAGCAGAGGCTGTAGGTCTCTGGTTTCCTCCCCAGGAGCCGCTTCTCCGGGGACGTGCCCCGCGGTCACAGTGTGGGGCACGGTCAGGGCTAGAAGCAGGGCCCGTGAGTTCCTGGTGTGAGGCCGGGAGCTCGGCTAACGATCGGGTCAGCAGCCCAGCAGACCCACCTGAAAGGCTCCGATTCATGCACGTCGAGGGCTGCCCCTCGTATCCTGCCTTCCTTGAGGGCTTGGGCTAAGGCTTTCTCATCCACCAGCCCACCGCGGGCCGCATTCACTAGGAATGCTCCTTGCCTCATCTGTGGGAGGAAAGCAAGCCGTTAGATGCCACCACGCTGGAAGGCACCTGCCCGGAGGTTTCAAGAAACCAGCCACGGCCCGGACCGAGGAGTTCTGCTGGTCCGGCTGTTGAGTGCGTGTGCGGCAGGGCAGGGGAGGGGCGCAGGGGGTGCCAGCGGCAGCTGGGGGGGTTTCTGCGCTGCCTCCG